TCAAATAAACTCAGACTTAGCCAGACCTCCCATAATTGGTGGGAAATTATCAATGGATACTTTTCAGAACTTTCTTCTTGTGGGTTTTCCCAGAACTCTAGAATTTAAGTAGCCTAAGAAAATTCTGGAAATCTTCTTCTCACTCAGCTCTTTGAAGTCTATTTTTGCCATTCTTCCTCGGTTTCAAGATACCCTTTGAGCCTAGCTCTTTCACCAGTTAGTCAGGTAATATTGCCTGGGGCAGCCCCAGAGACAGTCATTTCAGAAGTCCTTGCCCCAGGGATCCATCAGTTCCAGAATCCAAGGTCAAAGGGCAGCCCTGCCCGTACTTCTCACAGATAAGCTCCGCCCCCCCAACTCCCTCCAGCTCCACTACCATCACAGAAACAACCCTTAACCTGAAAAATAATCCTTCTCTCTGAGATGATCTACAGGACCTCCTCCCAATAAGTGTCACAAGGACTAAAACCTCAAATTAATACCTGGATGTAGCTCAGTGATAGGGCACTTTAGTAGCTCTGGGTTCCATCCCAGCAATGAACAAAACAATAGGAAAATAACGTCAGTGCACAAATAAGTTCAGCTTTAAAAGCTCCGGGGGGGGGGGGGGGGTGCTGGTGGCTGAGGCATCCTGAGGAGCAAGTTCTTTCGCTCAAAATGAGTAGCAGCTAAGGAACCAACAAGTGTATTCCTGGAATTTCCAGATTTTCCAACTTGTTTTTTAAGGGAAGCTGGGTTTTTATGTGCTAGTTCTTCTTTCTTTAAAAGTAACTTTACTGGGGTCTACTTGCAGAGTTATATACAATTCGCAGCATAACCATTCAATGATTTGTTTAAAGTAAATTTACCCAAGTTTGTAGAACCATCACAATAAATCAGTTTTAGAGCATTTTTTTCACATCCTAATTAGATCCCACATGTACATTTATGGCAGATTCCTGTGCTATCCCTTCCTCCCTAACCCCAGGCGCCACAGGCAACTACCAATCTACTTTCTGTCTCTAGTTTTGCCTTTTATGGGGATTTCATGTAGACAGGATGGCTCAAAAGATTTGGTCCCTTGTGTCTGGTTTCTTTCACTGAGCATGTTTTCAAGGTTCATTCGGTTATTCGTTCCTTTTTATTGCTGATGGTATTGTGCACCAACCATCCACTTACCAACTGATGGACATTTAGCTTGATTTCATCTTGATGCTGCCATCATTTCTATGCCGGTCTTTCTGTCCACATAGATTTTGCTTTTCATTTCTTTTCTTCCCTTTTCTTTAAATTTTTTTTCTTCTCTTTTTGAAAAGGTAGATACCTGAAGGTAGACTTGTGGGATCATTGGATAAATTATAGTTAAAAACCTACAATAACTAGATATGGTAGTGCTTTCCTGTAACTCCACACTTGGAAGGCTGAGGTAGGAGGATAGAGAGTTCAATGCCAACCTGAGCTACATGATGGGAACCTGTCTTAAGCAATAGCACCAACAAGCATAAAGTATACTTTTTTGTGGGGGGGGTAGTCTTGAAGCTTGAACTCAGGGCCTGTGTGTTGTCTCTGAGCTTCTGTGCTCAAGGCTAGTACTCTACCACTTGAGCCACAGCTCCACTCCAGATTTTGGGTGGTTAATTAAAGAGTCTCATGTCTGGCCAGGGTTTTTCAACCATGATCCTCAGATCTCAGCTTCATAAGTAGCCAGGCTTACAGGCAAGAGACACTGGTGCTAGGTTTCTTTTTTTGATCATAGTTATTCTTGTAGGTGAAGTAGGATCCCAGTGTGATTTTGATGGGCATTTCTCCAGTAACTAATGGTGTTAAGAAGCTCTTAATTTGTAATGATGGAATTCACTCAAATAAGAAAAAAAAATTGTGGCCAAGCATATGGAAAAAAGCAAGTTCCTGAGCCGGAATTGTCCTGAAGGAACAAGTTGGGACTTCTGACCTACACCCTAAAAAACAGCATCTGTGAACTTTTGCTTGCATGTGCGTGCGTGCGTGTGTGCATGTGTGCATGTGTATCTCTGTGTGTGTCTGTGAATGCAGTCTACCTTACCAGTGTAAAAAAATACCAAAACCAACAAACACTATGAAAAGCACTGAAAGGATTTCACTCTTTGTAGTAAACTAGTACCCTAGAAAAGATCATTTCCAATCTCTGTTCCCAATGTCACATTTTTATTCAATAAATCACCATGTTACCTATTTATTGAAAGTGTCTTTAAAGTGCTTATTTGTATCTAGCTTCTTTTTAGAGATGAGGTTATCTGTCAAAGGTTGAATATCTAGGAAATGCTCCAGTGAGATTCACAACCAAGTCTGTCTGACACTAAAGCCAATTTTCTTTAACAAAATCACAGCATATCCTGGCTAGGAGCTAGATATCTGGATCAAGGGAGAAGGAGGAAGTAAAGAGATTTCAAGACTGGTTTCCTTCATGTGTTATGTGGTGGGGATGAGGTCAAGGGAAGGGAGGAAGACAAATGAAGAGAGGAAGGGGGAGCAATTGCAGTCATAACATTTAATGTACATGGGTGAAAATGGAACCAGGTAAATTAAGGGGATGGTGAGGTTTGGAAAGATGGGAAGAATACTGGAAAGTGCGACACTGATCAAGATGCATTGTACTCATAAACTGACATTGAAGCCCTTTTGTACAACTACTTAAAGATCATTAAAAAAAAAAAAGACTGGTTACCTTAGCAGAACAAGGGGTCTTGGCAAGAGAATATAGATGGTGGAAGGAGGTATAGTAAGAAGAAAATAGGTCTGGGACCTTTTGCAGTTACTCCCTTTCCAGGCAGACATGCCTGTGAACAGTGGAGGCATGGTTCCAAAGAGAGAAGTTCTAGAAATACACTTTGGGGGCTACTTTTTCTTATTGATTTCTCATCAAAGACTAATCTTTGTGAGGTTTTCTTTTAGTGACTTTCCTGCTTTCTTCTTTGGATTGTCCATTGAGTTTGTATGGAAATTATGGGAAATTTTTTGAGTAAACGGAACCAGTGTCTTTACAAGGCTATGCCTGGATGCTCCAAGCATGGAGTCTTTTATTTAGAAAGATCTTCACTAAGGCAAGATGCCAGGGCTCTTACCTTATTATTCTAGCTACCTAGGAGGCTGAGATGTGAAGGCTGAGGTTCCAAGGCAACTCGGGCAGGAAAGTACATTTGACTTTTATCTTCAATTAACCACCAAAAAGCTGGAAATGGAGTTGTGGTCCAGAGTTCAAGCCCCAAGTACTGGTGTGCATGCGTGCACACACACACATACACACACAACTTCACTGGACTAAGACTCAGGCTTTAGAGGTATGTTCTCTAAATACATCGATAATTTTATTCATATTTTGTAGAGTTAACCATTACTCCCTGTGCAGACCATACTACTAAGGGCAGAACTCTTCATATGGCCAAATCACAAGTCATCTAGACAAGGAACAGCCACTCGGGCTGCAGGTGGGATTGGGGACCAGATGCACCATGACAAAGAACAATACAGAGCCTTATTGGAACTTCCTCAGGAAGAACTACACTCAGCTGCCTGGAAGCTTTCTCTTTATCACTTCCTGCTCCCCCCTTTTTTTAATTCACTTTTTATCAGACTAGACATTTCCGCCATATATATTACAACACACCCAGATAGCCAACACAAAATAACTACATTTTGCTGCGACGTTTTATTTGAAAAGATTTTCATAATATCCAGTTTTGGTAAGAAGGAGTTCACTCTGTTCTCATGACCTGAACTTTTATTCTATTTCTACACGGGTAATTAAGCAAGAGTTGTGTTATAGTCGACTAGATTGCGCCGATATTTCATTAAATATTTATTTACTCCGATTTTCTTATTTTGGAATCTTTTTCTTAATCCCCCTCCCTCTCCCAAGGTCAAGACGTTTTCTAAGGTCCTGGAACAGCTCACAGGCCCCAAGGGATCTGACAACACCGGATCTGATCATCTAGAACAGTCCTCAAAGCCCCTCTCACATAGGACACTCCACTAAGATGAATGAATGGATGGATGAATGAATGAATGAACGAACGCATGAATATCCCCAAATGTTCTCTCCAAGGCCTAGTTTGCTTCTTCTGGAATCTCAGCCTTGCCCAGAGGCTGGGCAGGGAGGCTCCTCCCCTCGCCAACCCCAAATTTCGGCAACCGAAGGAAGGTGTGCCGCGTCTGGCCAGTAGGACAGCGTCAGACTGGGGGTAGGGAGCGGGGTCCGAGGGGCAAGCCGAGCAGCGCGAAGCCAGGCCGCGGCGCAGGGGCGGAGCGGCACCGCTCCCCCGCTGCAGGTGAGCGGCGCAGCCCCGGCCTCTCCCCCCCCCCCTCATCCCACACCCCCTACCCCCCCGCCCTGCAGCCCGGGGTGACGTCAGGCCTCTGGACCGCGTTCCGGCCCCGCCCCTGCGGGCAGCCGCCGAGGGCCCACGACTCCGCGGTGGAAGCCGGAGTCCCGCTGCGGGACACGGGCTGTGGTACGCCGAGGGGCCCGCCAGGCGTTGGAGCAGGCTTGCAGCCACGGCCCCACGTTAGAGTGAGGCGCGTCCAGTCCGAGCTGGGGGGCGTACCTGCCTCACCGCCCGCATTCGCCGGGTTTGCGCAGCGCGCGGGCAGCTGCAGAATCCGCACCCCCTTGGCCTCGCGGGATCACCGGGCGCCCAGCCAGCCTCAGCTGTCCATCTCCACCCGAACCAGCCAATGGCCTGCCACGGCCTCGGCCGCACCTCCCGGACTCTCTGACGGACGTGAGAGCTAGCCTATGAGATGGAGGGTTTGAGAGCTTAGGCCGGCAGTGGAAGCCAATGAGCATCACTCCAGGTGGGTGGAGGGAGCACGACTCTGAAGGTAGCTTCGCTCGGGTTGCTAACGTCTTCCCTTGGAGATGGGCGCGCAAACCGACCAGTGGGTCTGGGGGCGGCGGTGATGGGCGTGGAGCTGGCCCAATGAGGGTGGGAGTGGGTGGGGCAGCCGCAAGCAGCAGTGCTAAAGGAGCCCGGCGGAGGCAGCGGTGGGTTTGGGACAGAGGCGCCGGATCTGTGGTCGCGGCTGGGGACGTGCGCCGGCGCCACCATCTTCGGCTGAAGGTGAGAGGTGCGGCTACCCGGGTCCATGTGCGGCGGCCTGGGGAGCTGGGACGGGGCGTGAGGGTACAGAAGGGTCCCGGGCTGGTTGGGACCTGGGAACTCCAGAACGCTGGAACCGAACCCAAGCGGGAGCTGGGAAAGGTCGAGTGGGGTCTAGGAGGGTTTGTGTTTGGGGGGACCTTGGGTGAGGGGACCTAGGGTCCTGGCGAGCCGGGGGCCTGGGGTGCGAGGCCCCAGTGAGTGGAGATGGAGAGACCCCAGGAGGGGCAGGGAATGTGGTTCTTGAGAGAGAGGGACCCCCCCCGGAGGGATCCGGACTGGGGTGTAAGGGAGGGCGAGTCCCCGGGGCGGGGGTGGGGGGGCTGAGGATGGAGATCTGGGGGTGCAGATGTAGGGGCCAGCTCCTTGGTGGTTGAGGTTCCTGGAGATGTGCAGTTGGCGGGGGATGAGGAAGGGGGACTCAGCACCCCGTTCAGGGTCCTGGGGTGTGCCTCAAGTCTGTGCCTGCCTCTCAGGAGGGCGATCGGGTCCTGACGAATGATCCGGGTATGGGGGGAGGGCGGAAGAGGGGGGGCGCCGGACGGGAAGGGGGGCCTGGGTGGGTGGGTTAGGCCCGGCGGGGCTCCCCGGGAGCTCTAGAGGGGTTCGCCGAGGGCGCGGAACGCGGGGCCGCCAGACCTGTAGGGTG